CCTTAAAAAACTCTATACATACAATGGTTGTCAGCCTGGTGATGTCACAGGTCTTATTTTCGTTCTTCTTACTCCGGCAGTGATATGATCCTATATGCCTCAGAGAGCAGAGCCACCTAATGACATGGCGTTGCTCTTTGCAGCATTCTCCTGTGAGTCCAGGGCAGGAAGAGGAGCCTTGACACCCTGGGGTCACAGGAAATGGGATGAATGATGCTGGGTGTCATTCATTAAAACCGGAAGAGGGCTGGAGTGAATGTAAGAGCTGCTTTTTTATTTTTATCAGCTGCCGGGGCATCGAATTACTTGTTTTTTGCCCAATATGGAAATGGGCTTTAAACCCAATTTCAGCTTCAGATAAACTCCTTTTTGTAAAGTAATATCTGCAGTATGTCCTATCTTCTTTCATCATGGTCACATGGGCTCTTCAGTTATAATTTGTGCCCAGCAGAAAACATTTACATTTTGCTAGTTGGGTTTCAGTGACAGCAGGCACCTTCCATTTCATAGTTATTAACCAATAGGAGGTGAGGGGACTGGGCTTGACTTCAGGAACTGAAGTCAGTATATGCATACCAGAACAAAACCCAGGGCATTTGGAAGCCATTTCATGGTTTGTGAAGCTCCCACATTTTTATCCTGCTTATGTTTTACTTGCCCTAATGTGAGTAGAGGTTTGCATATCGTTGAGTAGCATACTAAATAGTATTTATTTCCTATATTGTGCTTTTATGCTGGTTGAGGTCCCTCAAGCTAAATTTTGCTGAGCAAGAATGGTTCAAATTTTATGCTCTGCTGCACTGTGATAGGCGGCCGAGCGGTGTGGGATGAAAGACACATCGGCCGCTCACAGCGCTCGTCCCGCAGCGTTCGGCCGGCTGTCATTTTCTCTCTGATTCCTTTCATCCCTGCTGGGCACTGCTCTGTGTCCCAGCGGGGATGAAAGGAATCACGGCCGCGCCGACAAAACGGCAGGAAAATGTCACTTTCGGCATTTAGCCGAAAGTGCCATTTTCGTCCGGCGCCCCCCCCTTCACTTTTCGCCCGGGGCCCGCGCCCCTGCTGCCCCCCCGGTTGTTACGCCACTGCTGTACTGAAATGCCCCAGCACCAGCCTATTCTAGGGGAAACAATAAAGCATCTGACTGGAAAAATCCCGCCTAAACAATGGATTATTTCACCTAAAATGATTGGCTAGCTGCACCCAAAAGCTAGTTTTGGGTATGGTTCTCCTTGGATGGAATATCGTAAGTCTAGTGGAATGGATCATGCGCTACTGCGCCTCTGGTTTACCCTCCTTTGTCTTGGTGGCTTTTCTTCCAATGGTACCTCAATCTGTTCCTCCCCTACCCCCTATTCTCTTTCCCCACTCCCTTTATCCCTCCCTTTCATTTCTGTTGTCTAACCCTTTCCTGAGTACCAAGGACCTTGCTCCCCTCCCCACCCTTTCCCCACACATTACTTTTTTTATTATTATTTAGCCCCCTTTTCATGAAATTCGAGGTTTGGTGATGCCACTGCCAGCCTTACTCATGCATATCCTACTTTCCTAATATTACATAGTTGACTTGTCAGCCTTTTGTACTGAACTGTGCGGTTTGCTGTTGTAACTTTTTTTGTCTTGTTCTACTGTCCTTTTTTATGTTTTTCATGTAAAATCCAATAAAAGCTAGTTTGAATTATGAGCATCTTATGTATGTAGTATTTATTAATTGTTCTTGCTCTGTCCTTTACTTCTGGTTGTAGACCCTGACTCCTTACAATGTTGGACTGATCAAGCGTGCCATCAGCCAGAGTGGTACAGGTCTGTGCCCATGGGCTATTCAGCGGGACCCTCTCTTCTGGGCTAAAGAGGTAAAAAAGTGTTGATGAAATTCAGATGTAATTTATATCCAACTGAACATATAAAGTATTACAACTAATTGAATTCCTTAGCAGGGTTGGTACATGAGAAAATAGGGCAGTGGGTGTATATTGTAACTGTTTTATGCTACGTCTGTGACCAGATAAGTATGAGTTTAGGTGTTTAAAAATGACATATTCTATCCATGCAATGCATTAAGACCTGGGTAGATTTAAAGATGTGCCAAACACACAGGCATTCTTTAATCTTAACTGATGTATTAGCCACTAGTCTCAAGGACATCAGGCCTTACACTCCATAGGTTTTAACAAATTTGGAACAGCTTTCATGAAGCCCTTGAAGTAAACCTGTCAAAAGGGGAACATGGAGGCTACCACTGCTAACATGTGAAAATGTTAGTTGCCAGGTTGTCAATCTGACCATTTGGTTTTAATACCATCCTGAAGCCCACACTATAAACTGTATAGTTGTAAACTTGTTGTAGCCAACGCCTTGAAGGCAGCCATTGCTGGTCTTCTGGCAATAATGCTATTTATTGGACAAAGCATGCCTTTGCAGGACTATGCTCAGTGATGTCCTTGCTCTAGACCTAGCACTGCTTTTGCTAGTAGATTTATGGCAGCCTCCAGTGCTGGCCGAAACCTAAGGATTTGCCAAATAACAGCTTTTGAGTTAAGTTTCCTTTTCTGACTATGTGTGATGTTAAACCCATATTCAGGTGGGTCAAATATAAAAAAAAACTTCAATTTTTAATGCTTTTAAATTTTTTCCCCCAGGTAGCCCTAAACGTCGGTTGTCCTGTAGATGACACAGCTGCCCTGGCCAACTGTTTGAGGATTACAGACCCCAAAGCCCTTACTCTGGCTTACAAACTGGATCTGACTAAACTTGACTGTGAGATTTTACTAGGGGGAAGCTATTACCTATAAAGCGATATGAACACTAGATTATCATTATAGATTTATATGAACTGCTCAAACCAATGTGTACATTCTTAAAGTAATATGAAACTCTCAAACTTGTTTTCAATAATGGATCCAGATCAAACAAATATACATTACCCAACAATTACCCAACAGCATTTTTAAAATTCTGTTCAAGTACCTGCAGTCATCGTTTTTCCAAACAGCTGGCTCCAACTCTCCAAACTCTGCTTCCCTGAACTTTCTACCCAGCACAAGATCACAGGGGACATTACAGTCTCCAGTAATTGTCCATCTACTAGCTTGGAGAAGAAAGGAGGGGGAGCAGGGAGATGGGGAGTGCCTTGTCTTCCTGTGCCTGTGTGTTGGTGGAGACACACGCAGCTTACTATATAGCAAATACAAGAGTGGCTCCATAGGACCCTGCAAGTGAAAGGAGCCCCCCTAAAACAGAATATCAGGGCCAGTTCTCAGGGGACTAGCTGATTCAGCAGGAAGCTAAAACTTTTACATATAAAGGAGCAGCATTCATTGCAAGCAATTTCATCATCATTTTAATATTATTTTTAAGCTCAACTCCAACCAAGACATTTTTAGTTTAGAACAGAGTGGGGAAGGGCTAGAACCTCGGTTAGGTTATTAGCACTATATTTTCCTGTCCTGGTGACAATTACTCCCCTAATTTCTTGTCCTGGTGCTAGAGGGACCTGAGGCGAGACAAAATCTTCCCAACAGGTCATGGACAGCAATAAAATGTACTCTCTGAAAATAATTCAAAGCTAAAAAGTTTTGGCTGGAGTTGGACTTTAAATGATCACTTCACCCCAAAAGTAATGTTTCAGATATAGGGGCAGTCCAGGTTGTGTCACCTGCTGGCTTTTTGTATCTGTTGGGGTCTCCAGCATCAAGATCTCCCTGATTTCGTTGGGGTAGCTATTGACACCCACCCTGCATTATTGGATGTTCCCAGTAACCCTGTTGCATTCTATAGAACAAATTAAAATTCTATCAAGAAGAAATGGACAGGATGAAGAGACAAATGTAGGATACAAGGAAAAGAATAGTGTATCTTCCGCGAGCATAGATTATTGCATTGCGTATTAAAGTGATCCTGTTCTTTGCCCATGTAATGCCAAGCAACACTTAAATGTGCCCCCTCTCCCCATGGGGCTAAGAACTTTCTCCTTGATAACCATGGCCTTGATGTGACAACACTGGTGCCTGTGGATTGAATGAATGTGGATGGATGAAAGGACAGGAAGTGAGTCACATCTCCATAACCACGGTATCTGGTATTTCTCCTTGCTCTGGCAGCATACTATAGCAGCAGGAGAGTGAAGGTAAGGGTAGTATAAGAAAGGATGGGGTGAGGTGACATTTAAATAAACCTATTGCTTTTCCCTGCATGGACAAAGCACAGTATCACTGGTTTTATTGGCAGGTAGCCATGATGCCAATTTGTTGTCCAATAACAAGGTGAAGGCCCTGGTGGGGGGAAGGCCACTTTGGGAACATGCAAGTTCTGGTTGCATCTTCCTTTGTAGAGCACTCTGGGATTTCAGGCTCCTGGGATGCTTGGCAGAGATACTGAATACACTTGTGCACAACTGAAGGTGTCTACTGTCCATGACAGGAGTAGATTCTCAAAAACAAAATAGACCCACTCAGCAGGTACACTTTAAACTTGTACTTTAATGAGTGCTCCAGGCAGTTAAATATTTATGAGCCAATGGGGTTGGCACACACTGTTATAATACCTGCACTAGAACTGCAACATGGCTTTATATCACCTTTAGAGCCTGCAACTCTACATACTGTGCTACTGCTCCACCCGCTGCGTGTTCTTTATACTGTTAGACACCATCACCACACAGGTGACGTCCAACCTGAGCTCTCTTCCTTATGTAAGGAAATATAACAACTTTCACCCTCCCTTTCATGAGAAATATAATGAACAAGTGACCTAAATGGTGTTTTTTTCATCAAAGAGTTTATATAGCCAACCCTTATTTTAGTTTTGGATAGAGTAGGGAAGGATATGAACCTCTGTCAGGGTTGTATTGTTGTCTGTGTCCGTGCTGGATACATTCACCTTTTGTTTGTCCTGGTCAGGTGACCACTGTCACTGGGACAGAAAGTGGCAGTTGTCATCAGAACAGTTGAGTATTGGGGACACCTGTCCCAGTAACAAATGTTTAATAATGCATCTCCTCAATTTGTAGAGGTTTTCTGTCCAGTAACTGGAAATCCCCCCTAAGGGAGACAGGCAGCAAAAAAGAAAACTGACAGGGGTCCCTACTGTATCCAAAATTACATAAAAAAGTTCTGGCTAGACACACTCTTTAATTTACCTGAAGCTCCACTTTAAGATATCTTTCCTTTTTCTCTTACATGCTAGACCCCGTTGTGCACTACTTGGGCTTATCAGCAGTTATTGATGGAGATTTCATCCCCGATGAGCCAGCTAACCTGTTCCACAATGCTGCTGATGTGGACTATATGGCCGGAGCCAACAACATGGACGGACATTTGTTTGCTGGCATGGATCTCTCCGTCATCAACAAACCACTGCAGAACATTTCTCCGTACGTATATTACCTCTTACTAAAAACCCTAGATACAGTATCTTACCAACTATAATTCAGTGAAACTCCAGTTTGGTTAAGGAAAAAGATCCCCTTCAGGTGAACTATGTATATTTGTGTTCGGAGTCCACTTGCCATATAAGCAAGACGTAACCAAAATACTAACCTGTGGTGTGCCATGGTCTGGATGGGCAGTAATGCCAATAACTGAAAGAAGGGAACGGGTGGGAGGGTCATGCAGAAGCTCGCCGTGCCCAGGTGAGCCTGCCTGCGGGCTTTTAAGGTGTGCAGTGGGAGCAGACTGCTCCCACAAATACAGGCTAACTAGTTAGCCTTCAAACTTCAAGCTTTATTGCAGATTTGTACTTTTTTCTGAATTTATTGTTTGTTTTACAGTGGCCTTTCTCAAACTGACTGGAAGGTCTGTCTTCATTATCACCAGCTCAGCAATCTCAGTAAAGTAATAAAAGCAACAGTACCATCTGCATCCCTGTAGCTGTGAAGTCTTAGACCTAATGCACATGAGTGCAAAGGGCCATATGCATATATAATGGCCCAATTTTTGTTTCTCCCGGGAGTCATAGACGAAGTGTACTCCAATGTCCAGGCAACCTGTTTAAATTAATGACAGGTTGGGGCCATGCATGAATATAAACAAATCTGAGTGGCTACAAAGCGTATAGGGCCATATGTTTATCCCAGAATGCAGACAGTCTGCATTAGTGTGTAAGACCATGATGCACAGCTGCAGATTTGAACAGACTGTCTGGCTGCTGATGTGCGCTGCATCTGTTACTCCACGGACAGAAAATATGGCCATAGTATATATATATATATACATACAGCCGTTTGTGGGAGTGTGTGCACGAGGCCTTAGAAAGAATCTCATCAAAAATCAAACTGTTGCAGAGAATGCCACTAATTTGACTTGCAGCTAGTTACATTTCTGTAGCTATTCTTGACTAAAGAATGCCGCCCAGCAGGGAAATTCCGTTTGATTTTTTATTTTTTTTGCAGTTTTGGAAAATATAATTTGTAGATTATGTCTTATAAGTGTGTGCCACCCTGGTCAGTGCTGCTACTTCTTCCTGGACAGCTTGGCCTGAAAATGTAAATGTGCACAAAAATACAAATCAAATAAAAGGAAAGGAAACCAAATACCGAACACTATCTTCAAATATCCATTTTCTCATTTGACCAGCCATGTGCTTTGTCATTTCTGACAGGGTTGAGGTAGAGAAGCTGATCTCAGATCTTACACTTCCCAAGGGATCGGTTGGAGCAGACCTGGGTTATCAGCTTTACACTGTAAATTGGGGGCCCAATCCTGAGCAGGAGCTCATGAAGAGAACAGTTATCGAGGCAGAGACTGATTACATCTTCCTGGTGCCCACTCAGGAGTCTTTAGCCTATCATGCCATGACTTCCAGGTAAGTGGCACTAAACTTCACTATGATTTAAGGAACACTCCTGTTTGAAATGTCAATTTGTACATTTAAATAGACACCAGGAACACAAACTATTCCCACAGTACTTTTTTCCTTTTCATGCTGTACACCAGACCTCCCTTCTCTCTATAGCTGCCGGTAATGCCGGTCTTCTAGAATTCCTTGTTACATGTGGACCTGGGAGCCCAGAATTCCCAACTCCGCCCATCTGGAAAGACAGAATACGAGCTAAAAATAAAAAAAGAAGGATCACTCACATTCTATTTTTCAACCTTTAATTATTCCAAGAAGAGACTATAACTAAAAAAGTAGAAAGAAAGAAAAAACAAACCAAAAAAACCCCAAAGGATTGAAATGAATCCATCTTGAGTATATACTGTATAAACCAGAACAAAGAACTTCTCTTATTTGCTCCCTTTAAGTGTGTAAATATACCATTGGAAGCATTTTGTTATACTATATCTGTTTGATAAGTGCAAACAAAACTTGTTGATCCTGCCAAAAATCCAATGTTGTCCTGTGCACTCTCCGTTTTATCAGGACCACAGACCACCTCCTCCTGTATTATAAAGATGAAGAGAGGGGGGAGTTGTTCTGTAGCCCTAACAACCTTTTTGTCCTAGGGTAAGGATGACAATGCTGCTTTTCCATAGATACTAGCGTTGTCACCCTAGGACAGAAAGTGTGCTACTGGCAGGATCACCAGGTGAAAATAAAAAAAAGAAGCCTGAAAAAAAAAAGAAAACTAATGCAGCCTCCACATCTAAGAACTGGTAAGCTGCAATATATTATGTTTTGGGGTTTAAATATAGCTTACTGGTTTGTTTTTAGTTTTCAAACTTTTTTAAAGCTCAGCTGAACTTTTTGCTCTCTTCATAGTCCTGTACCCCCACATGTTGATTTTTGGAAATGCTTTGAAATACTTTGTTTTCTTGCAAATGCATTTCCTGCTCTCCCACTCCAGTGCTCTATGCTGGCACAGATGAATAACAGGTAGCCCTAATGTACTCACACAGACTTGTAGTGCTGAGGAAAAGAGACATGACATACTAGTTCTGCTACTAGTGAGTTTACTGGGTCTAGCTTTGGTGTCCATTGAACTGGGGATCATATTAAGACATTCTGCACCCCTGCTGTCACAGGAGATTGGAGGCCAGACTGTGAGTCTATTAGGACAATGTATAGAACTGAATATCTAATTCTGTGTGTAAAAATGTTGGAGTCTGTTGTATATTATCTTTATTGCCCCTATATTATAGTAAGCACAATTACATTTACATGAGCATACTAATATTGTGATATGTTTTACATTCACTCCTGTTTTATTATTCTTCCCCTTCTTAAAGGACTGGCAAGACCTACAGCTACCTGTTTTCTCACCCCTCACGTATGCCCCTCTACCCCAGTTGGGTGGGTGCTGATCACGCTGACGATCTGCAGTTTATTTTTGGAAAGCCCTTCACCACTCCACTGGGTTTCAGAACCCAGGACAGAAATGTGTCCGGGGCCATGATTGCTTACTGGACCAACTTTGCTGCCACTGGGTAAGTAGGAAGTTTTATTTACTGAAGTCATCCAGCCTATGTGACTGAAAGATCTAGGATGTAGACTGGCAGTTAGGAAGACATCTTACCATCATGGTAGACATTGCATATCCACTTGTTCCACATCATGACTTTTAGGTACCTGCAGGCATTATAGAATATTTTATAGCTTTTGGAAAGCAGATTGGTAAATGTTCATTTATTTGTAGTTCTGTCGATGGCCCTGCCTGAGGCTGCTTGGGAGGAAGCCCATTCAAAGCCGACAACTATCTAATGGTAGCTTTTCTCATCATAAACATGGCCATTTGAAAATAAAAACCGGGGCAAGGACAAATCATGGCAGAGTGTGCACAGGAACATTTTTTAATCATTCTGTACAGTAATGCAGAATTTCACCACCATCTGCTAGCATTATTGCTGCAATAAATTGCATGAGGAACCACACATAGCACACGTGATGAGCCATTTTTATTGGATAGCGCTGTTTTCGCCTAGACATTTTTATATACAGCATGTAGAGATGTGAAGTGATTTTGTATATTTTCTTTTTTATGTTTGGGTTTAAAAGGTACAATTTATAAAAATAGTATAGTCAGGTAGATAAAAATGATCACATAGAAATATTTTGTATTCTAAAAGAAGCCAGTAGGTGGCGCTTTAGACTCTTTTCCACTGGCTTTCTATATCAGATTTGATGTTAAACAAAAACCCAGAGCGAAGTAGCACAAAGCAAAAACTTACACACATGTGAATGAGTCAGAGTAGCGACTCCTTCCCCCCGCCTGTTTAGGTGGCTCTAAAGTTCTAATCAGACTGCGTACATCTGAAAACAGACAACTTCTGCTGTTCCATAATGCCTTCTGAATTTTGTCATGGGTGCACCCTGGATTCATTGTATATTTACAAAAACAGACTGTATAAAGAGAGAATGGGATAAAAAAAAAAAAAACACGAAGAAAAAAATCCTGATAATAAAATTGACCCCAAGCCATTATAGGTTCACTTGGAAGTAAAATTGCTGCTGCTATAGAGGAGAATTAAAGTGCAGGTAAAAACCTCTGTATGTGTTTATATATGGCGCCATACACATAATACAATAATAACCTGTGTCTCTGGAAAATGCATGTAAAATGCAAGAAATATGAACCAACAACTTACATGAGAACATGGAATAACACACCGCACTAATCTACATTTAAAATACAAGTGTGAAAAATGCCCTTGACCAGTCTTGTGGAAGGTTAGTGTTTTAAGGCCCCTTTTACACGGGCAGTCTGATCAGGTCCACCTGTCAGTTTTTCAGGTGGACCCGATCGGATGCTCAACGTAAAGGTGACCATACACCTTGCGATTATCGTTCGGAAATTGAACACGATTGAGTTTTCGTACGATAATCAGCCAGTTGATGGAAAGTGAACGATCACGATTACTGTACAACTGGCTGGATTTCCTCGGTCAGGCTGGAAAACTTTTTCAGAATCGTATGAAAATTGATGGATTAGTATCGATAATGAACCATAATCGAAATCCACATTGGTCTGTGCATGACGGGCTATTCGAACGGAACACGGACGACGGAATGAAATAGAAGGAACGATAATTGTAATGTATATGGGCACCTTTAGGCTATGCACAGCCAGATCTAAATGGACTTTCATCCGTTTACATCCAGTTGCCCTTGGCTCTGGCCAGAGTTCCGTTTCACTGGACCTGACTGTGCCAGATCAGGGGTAATTTGATGTAAATGGACACATGTCCTGATACATCTGATCACACATAAACATTTCCATTGACAGGTCTGAATGCCGGGGGGTGAGTTATAGCGGTGGGATTACATCTCTCCCCCTCTCGGGTCTGGTAAACACCCGACATGAGAGGGCCAGTCATTTCAGTTTTTTGCTCCATCATTAGTTGGAGTTAAAACTGAACGAACACAATACAATCTGTATAGCTCCAAGCAGTAGAGGATCCATGCCATGAATCCCCTCCTGAACGGACAGGAAATGTGAGTTTGGCTGGTAGTAGGTGTTTAGAGCTCATGTTAGATATATCAATTGTTGTCTTTCTGTTTTATCCCACAGCGACCCCAATAATGGTCCATCCAAAGTCCCCACTTCATGGCTTCCTTACAATGCTCAGTTTGGACAATATCTAGAAATTAACAACGACATCACCTTCAAGTCCATGAAACAGGGACTAAGGTCACATTACGTCCGCTTCTGGGTCCATACCTACCGCAGCCTACCCACTGTTTAAAGAACTCATTCATTGACCAATAAAATCAGATAACAAATCAATGGCTATGACCCTTTTATTTCTTGCCTATGACTATAGAGATGAAACAGACATTTTGTATGCCGACATTAGATCTGAAACCTAATGTGAAGACATTTAGATTAATAACGCCCTGTGTATCAAACAATTGCCATATTTTTTAATATATGAAAATGTTTTTTTTCCACTTTTTAACATGTCCTGCAGCCAGTCTCCTCCTGCCACTTCCTGTCTACATGCACTCGCTTCAGCATCGGCTGCACACCATTGCTCTGCACCGGCTTACTGATGTGACAACAGCAGGATATGCCTGTAAAATGTGTATCAATGCTGCCACTTGTAGTCTGCAGCTGGTGCATTTGTGACAATGCGAGAGAACAGTTGGGAAACAGTTGTCACCCTAAAACAGGAAGGGACTGAACAAAGACCTTCATTGCAGGATCGCCAGGCATTTCTTTTATTTCTTTAATGAAAGCTGCAGACTTAAAAAGATTGAAAAGAACTAATGGACTTACACTAACATGTTAAAGCTTATATGAGATTTAATGATAGGGTTTAGATATATTTTAAAAACCTTGGGGGGAAAAAAAATCTAAACAGGTGGTGAGATTTAAATTAAAAACAGAACAATAGAATGTTGATACAGAGAGTCATTTGATTGCCTTTAGGGATGTTAAAGGAACTGAAGAAGCCACATACCTCAATCAGCCATAACATTATGACCACCTACCTAATATTGAGTAGGTCCCCATTTTGCTACCAAAACAGCCCTGACCTGTCGAGGAATGGACCCCACTAGACCTCTGAAGGCATGCTGTGGTATCCTTTAAGTCCTGTAAGTTGTGGGGTGGGGACTCTATGAATAGGACTTGTTTTTCCAGCACATCCCACAGATGCTCAATTGGACTGAGATCTGGAGAATTTGGAGGCCAAGTCAACACCTCGAATTTGTTGTTGTGTTCTGAATTTTGGTTGGTTGGTTCATGTCAACATCCACATGAATGGCAGGACCCAAGGTTTCCCAGCAGAACATTGCCCAAAGCACGACACGGTCTCTGATGCCTTGCCCTCATACTGCATACTGGTGCCATCTCTACCACAGGTAAGCGACACACGCACTCAGCGATTCACATAATGTAAACAAAAATGTGATTCATCAGACCAGGCCACCTTCTTCCGTTGCTTCCATGGTCCAGTTCCGATGCTTACATGGACATTGTAGGTGCTTTTGGCAGTGGACACGGGTCAGCAGCCATGTATGCAACAAACTGCAATGCACTGTGTGTTCAGACACTTTTCTATCAGAACCAGCATTCACTTTTTTAGTAAATGTGAGCTACAGTTGCTCTTCTATTGGTTTGAACTACATGGGCCAGCTTCTGCTCCCCACATGCATTAATGAGCCTTGGCCACCCATGGCCCTGTCTGCCTGTTCACCATGTTTCCTTCCTTGGATTACTTTTGGTAGGTCCTGACCACTGCAGACTGGGAACATCCTACAAGAGCTGCAGTTTTGATGGCTGACCCTATCGTCTAGCCATCACAATTTGGCCCTCAGATCCTTACATTTGTCCATTTTTTCTGCGTCTAACACAAACTTCAGGGACAAAATGTACACTTGCTGCCTAATAAATCCACACCCACTTCCTGGTGCCATTGTAACAAGATAATCAATGTTCACCTCACCGGTTAGTGATAATATTGTGACTGGTGTACACTGTATGCACAATTATTAGGCAAGTGAGTATTTTGACCAAATCACCATTTTTATGCATATTGTCCAACTCCAAGCTGTATAAACGTGAAGGCTTACTGGATTTATGCATAACAGGTGATGTGTATTTGTGTAATGAGGGAGGGTGTGGCCTTAGATCAAACCCAATATCAAGGTGTGCATAATAATTAGGCAGCTTCTTTTCCACAATGGGCCAAAAAAGAGATTTAACTGACTGAACAGTCAAAAATTTTAAGTCTTTCAGAGGGATGCAGCACTCTTTAAATTGCTAAGATATTGGGGCGTGATCACAGAACCATCAAACGTTTTGTTGCAAATAGTCAACTGGGTCGCAAGAAACATGTTGAGAAAACAATTATGCAAATTAACTGCCAAAGATTTGAGAATAATCAAATGTGAAGCTCTCAGGAACCCATTATCCTCCAGTGCTGTCATATTCTAGAACTGCATCCTACCTGGAGTGCCCAGAGGTACAAGGTGTTCAGTGTTCAGAGACATGGCCAAGGTAAGGGAGGCTGAAACCCAACCACCACTGAACAAGACACACAAGTTAAAACATCAAGACTGGGCCAAGAAATATCTGAAGACAGATTTTTTTTAAAGGTTTTATGCACTGATGAGATGAGAGTGACTCTTGATGGACCAGATGGATGGACCCATGGTTGGATCAGTAACGCGCACAGAGATTTACAGTGAAGGAAACCAGTACACCTCTCTGAACAGTGTCTGGGAGGCCGTGGTTGCTGCTGCACAAAAAGTTGACCGTCAGCAGATGAAGAAACTGACAGACTCCATTGATGGAAGGCTGATGACTGTTTTTGAAGGGAGGGGGGGCTATATTGATGACTGATTTTGATTTTGTTAATGTCAGAAATGTTTATTGGTAAATTTTAAATTGTTTATTATTCTCACTTCAACAGATGGAAATAAACAAGTGAGATGGGAACATTTTTGTTTTCCATTTAATTGCATAATAATCCTGCACACTAATAGTTGCCCAATAATTGTGCACACCTAGATGTTCTCCTAAGACCGCCAGAACCTCACTTTTACTTTCTTAAATATTCAGGTTTGAGGTTTATTAACATTTTGGATTGACCGAGAGAGCTGGAGTTGTTCAATAACAAAATTAATCCTCAAAAATACAGCTTGCCTAATAATTGTGCACGCAGTGTATATTTTAATTGTTAAACGTAGTGGATTTGTGTCTCTGAACTCTTTAGTAAACAAAACGACTGAAATCATTGGTTACATTGCTGAGCTCTGGGGTGAAAAGTGATGTCTGTACATTTCAATGAACTAAAGCATGTTTATTTCTCTTAAAACAAAATAGAAGCCTAAGCTAAAAACTGGCTTACCTTGCATAATCTCTTGCATCAAAGTGTCTGTGCCAAGAACAGTTACAATATTTGCTCAGAGCCACCAATCAGATTCCAATTCTGCCGTGGAAAATCATGGCTGTAATCTAAAAGTATGAATCTGGATGGTTGTGGAGGAAGAAATAAAAAAAGACAGACCGTTATGGTCAGTACAGTGGCTTAGGTGGTTAGCACTTCTGCTTTGTAGCACTGGGGGTCCCCTGTTCATATACCGTTCAGGACATTATCTGCAAGGAGTTTGCATGTTCTCCTTGGGTTTGCTCCCATTCTAAAAGACATGCTGGAAGGTCAATTGGCTCCTGTCTAAATTGCACTTTATGTATGCATGTGAGATAGGGACCTTAGAGTGTAAGCTCCTCGAGGGCAGGGACTGATGTGAAAGCGCGGTGTTAAATTGTTGGCGCTATTTAAAAACCTGTCATAAATACATTCTTGGTATGGATGCTCCGCTACAAGATACAAAATGACTTTTTTGTTTTAATGATAACTGTACATGTTTTCAAACACACATCCGGGCATGACCCTTGCAGGATCAGCCTGCTTCTAGCAGTTTGTGATCATCAGTGATTACATGAGTGCCATGCAGCATAGAAATGCTCAGTTATAGCTCTTGGCAAGGAATACATTGAATCAAGCAGGTATGTAAAGTAGATGTCTTCCTAGTTTTGAGTACTTGTTTGTAGTTACAATGCAGACTTGAATGAGAATGTAACCAAAGCTATGTTTAAAGTGAACTGAGCTCCTTCAAAGCACAATAAAAGACAAGGCAGAGATTAGAGGTTATATTTGCAGATATATTTGTTTGGATGACCAAAAAATAAAACTATGGGCAATATATAAAACAAACAAAAAAACTTCCACAAAGTTAATTCTGGAGTGTTGGCATTTATTGCAAAGACTAGTTTACATTGCTTGTGTACACTGATCACTTAGAACAGTCTCCTTCATTAATCCAAGTTACAAAATACATGAAGTACAGTCATAGACAGGGTAACAAGTGTAAACATTTGCGCCTTGCCGGCACAATTCCACAGACACACACAAAGTCGCATACATACATACATACATACACACACACACAGGCCAAAAGAAAATTGCACTTCAAAGAAAAAAAAAAAGGGGGAGAGTTGGAGATGAGTTTCATCACTTCCTAAGTTAGTGTTTAGAGATCCATATTTGATCATGTGACTGGCTGTCAGAATTCACCATTGTGAGTGTACAATCATATTTTTTTGTGATGCATTAATGAAGTATACTATCAGGTGGTGAGAGTAGAAAGAAAAAGACAACATGGCATCCTAGTAGATTTTTTTTTTTAAAGTTTGTTTGCAAGAAATGTGTGATTTCTTGCAATGTTCTGTCATGGTTCTAGAACGAAACACGTGGAGAAAAATGAAGATCTTTGTATTTGCTGTAAAATCGGTTTCTTCTATTGAGGAGCAACAGGGCAGTAGTAATACTTTGACATTTGGGTTATGCTAACAGTTTGGCCACTGACAAAAAAAAAAAAGAAAAAACCCAAAAACTTTTCAGTCTAGCAAGCAGTATACTAGGCCAATACCACTGAGGGGCAGGATTTGTGTCCCTCAATGGACTTCTACAATAGGCAAAAAAACTGTCCATTGAGAAACAGTAGTAATACTTTGACATTTGGGATGTCCAAAAGTAGTCCAACTGAGGAGTGGCCACTGAGAGATTCAACGGATATGGAATCTTACCACTGAATAAGGTTTAGTGAAGAAGGCCAAGCCATGGAGTATCAAGAATGTTGATAGAGTAGTAATATACATAGGGGGTTTCTCTCAGCAGAGATCAGGAAAAAGCATCTTAAATGCCTAGGACAGTAGCAAAAAAACTGAGGCATGGTGGTTGGATTTGGGGTTATACGGGAGCTGGCATTTTGTTATGCCAGTGTCCTAACCTCCTAAAGACAGCAGTATAACCCAAATGTATCACTACTATCCTGTATCCCTCCATAGATGATAAAGAAATTACATTTCACCAATGTAGCCATTTAAAAGCACCTAGGTATGGAAATTAGATTAACAAATCAGGAATTTATATATTATATGTTGCATGGTTACTTTCCCTTTACAGGTGGGTCAGAAATTCAATATAACTGATAAGCTGAAAGTTTGTTTGGCTAGCTCATTACAAAAAAAAAACAAAACACAAATCCCAGAATGCACTGGTTATGGCAGGTCCTAGGGTTAAATTGCTATGTTATAACCCATCACTGCCGGACCGATTGGCACTTGTGAGAAAGGAGCAGGCCTCCAGTTATGGCAGGTTAACGGTTGGTAACGGACTCTGTAAACAATGTATCTCACCTTCCTTCAGATTAACATGCAGACCAAAAGATCAGATCATTAGGCATTAAGGCGCAGAGTTCAAAGCAGAGATGATTGCATTCTAGGACTTGTACCTGGCTCCAAACAGACTTGCTTTCAAGAATGTAGAAGTGACGTCGTCTGGAAGAGACAGCTAAGCCATTTTTAGTGAAATAAATGCAAATTTCTATACACACTCTTAAGAAGTCAAATATATATTGTTTCCAGTTTCGAAGAAGATGAGACACAAGAGCAGTACAGTTAGCTCTGAGGTGGTGTCTCGGTGGCCTAAAGCTAAATAGGTAATTCACTTCAAAATGGCAGGTAAGCAACTCGCAAACAGCGGTGGGCTTTCATGTCTCAATTTCTGGCTAATTGAGACAAACCCGGAATTTCCGTGATAAACTTTTTTACATTATGACTGAGGCCTAACAGAAGAGTCTAGGCGCCTTCTGTGGTAAATATTGGATGGGCCCACAAAATGGTTCCACAGTGGCCAAATTTGAGGGTCGTGCCACTTGACTTTGCGGAAGTAGTGCATATTTACTTTACTTTTTAAGCCATTTCCTCACAAAACCAAACATTTTCCACAGTTTTCAAAACCTGTTTAACACAGTCATCCAGTATGGTAACTGCAGGAATTAAGGCCATTGTTCTTTGACGATTAGCATCTCTAAATTGTATGTAATTACGTGCTAACCGTCAAGCTAACTTACTTAGGCCTTATGATTTCAAAAATGTTGGGTCATTCAAAGTAACAGAGTAAAAGACAGAAGTCTGCCTTCCCTATTAAGATCCAAAAGTGGAACTACGGACATCACACACAACAGACAGCTTTATGAAACCCAACGTCTTTGCAAGCCATGGGGCCAATGCTTAAGACTGCAAAATCCAAACTGAGAAAAACCTGTGGTCAACAGTCACCTCACACTTCAGAGTCACTGCCAAGTTCAAGAGATTCAGAACTCCGTCATTACCATGCATACAGAAACCATAAAACTCCACCGATGGCTTCTAGAGTTTGTAAAGGTAATGGAGTCTTATAGCATTCGATATGAGCTTTGTTCCTTCACATTTTGGTAACTATGTTTTTTTTACAAAGAGAGGAAAACCAACTCAAGCTGGTTGCGGAGAGTGTCATCCCTTACAGCCCTCTATTGTTAAGCCATAGCATAATATCAAACGGACTAGGGTTGCCATTTTGAACTGGCCAAAGAAAATTTTAATTATATAAAGAGCAAATGGCAAAGTCAGGCAATCTGCCCCTGAAAGGTCCTGCATACTGCAATCAATGTTAAGGTCAGACCCAAATGTGTAAAATATATCAGAGATAGCACTCTGGTCACAGGGAATGTATGCACAAGAAACCAGTCCGACAGGAAAACCTATCACTACAGGGCTCATCTCTCAGCTAATACAAAGCACCGCCATTGTGCAGCAATCGAAACAGCTATTTTTGTCAATGAAAGTTGAAAGTCTCTTCTGTAAACATTTTTTTTTTGGCAGCCATTTTGAGGCACAGTCCGGATGACATCCCTGCTGAAGTTAACATCAGCCACAACCTGTTTGAGAGCCCATCAAACCTCTCCACAAAATAAAAAAAACCCCTTAAACCTAGATAAAGAAACAAAAGCTTAACCTATCAATGCCCAAACTGCTTGAAATGTGTTATGTCCCACTGGCACCAAACAGGTTAAAGTGTAATTTTAAAGGTTAATGCGCAAGGGGAAGGAGGAGGTTCTCTTTACATTATATATACACACAGTAATCAAAAAGGCGACAAAGCATCAAAACAAATACATAGGCTGATGACAGTGTAATAAATGTAATATAAGTCTAGCATCTATTTACAACCAATAAATATTTATAAAGAAAAACGTAAAACAAAAAGAAATCAAAGTTGTACACTACAAAAAAAATGCTTTCCCACAGGTCTGACCAACTTCACAGCCACTGCCGGAAAATAAAGGCTTAAAAATATCATTTGGCCCCAAATTACATTATTTTCTTTTTTTTTGTCCTCACAGAAAAATAAAAATGTTAGTGATTATTTACAGACTGAAATGGCTGTACAATTTCTATGCAAATTATTTAACCCTCTAAGATGCAGCCAGCGTGGCAAGAACCAACTGAAATGCTGCCACGCGGCTATAAGGTAAAGGGTTAAACCGATGAGCTTGGTGGCGTTAAAAATCGAGCTGCAAATGGTTTTCCTGTGAACATTTTCTGGTGTCGGATCTTTGGTGTGACTTGAAATGCTGGACTGCTCGAAGGGTAGGAGAGAAAATGGTGATCAGAACTGATTTAACGAGTCCTCAGCTCAGACGTTGGCCATTTAGTTGGTTGTTTGTTTTCTTTTCTGGCCGCACTAGTCGGGCTTGAAGAAACCCTGCAGTGGTGGAGGGGTCCCATTCACAGGCACCTGCAGCTGTTAATGGGTTAAAAACATTTTACAGTCTGTTTTACAAAGTGCTTTTTGTAGAAAACTTGCTAAATAATGGTATCCACAGGGAGATGGTGTTAGTATTTACATGTCCCCCCTTTAAGGGGAAAGACAGCTAGTGCCGGGGCCAATCAGCCTCTCACAGCTTTACAAATCTGTAGTCAATCACATTACAGATTATGTAGTCAACTCTGAACCCAACTGGGCTACTCCATTTTGTCCGTGTTAATACTGGATTCCTGGGCATGGCACAGGCTGGTTAATATCCTACTTCACAGTCTTCTTTGTAGAAAGGCCTCTACCTTAACCCCCCTGCTCTTGAAGGCACCTAAGGCATGGAGGCGGATCTTGGGTCCTTGATGGAATTTAGGGATATTTGGAGTGGTAGCGGCACCTGAAGTTGGTTCATGTCTAAGCCAACTTTTTGAACGGCTCTTGTTCATCTTAGAAGACCAACAAATTCCACTCTTGACCTGTTCGGATGCATGTCATCCCCAAAGTTTTAGAACACCAGAAACAGAGAAGGCCAGTATGTTTGGAAGATAGAAGGGGGTCAGCTCAAGCCCTTCACCCACGGTACACGTAAGTGCTTTCCTTTGGGTCCCTCCAGCTTTCCGGCTGGGATACAGCTGGGTAGGTCAAGAGGTCAGAAAATGCCTTTGGCAATCTTAAGTCCCTTCTGCTTCATACGGGGCAACGTGGAGCTAGAGCCATGTTTAATTTTCACCCCTTTGGAGAAACCACGTTTTTTCAGAACAAAGTCATAATTGGCTCCCGAGTTCATAGCGTAGAAGACGTTGGCGTTATCCGGAATCTTCAATTCTGAGGAAGGAAAAAAAACAAAAAACATGTTTTAAGTCTACATCCATCGGTAACCAGTAACCACTGTTTAGAACAGCATCATTGCATATCAATTTCATGTGCTTTCGCTTGTTAATACATTTTTTTTTATTGAACATTGGTGCATGTATTTTGTGCAATCACATACTCTTCCCTCTTATTTGTTGTGCAAAGTGAAAGGATGACTTTCAATACCGAATGGTTTCCTGGCACTGCTGTGGCGAAACATCTTATGTCAGCAAATGGCTGAATTCCTTATATACTACAAGTGTTTCATGACAGGGTCTCTTTAAAAGGTAATCGCATTAGTGTTATAGGGTTACATTTGCATAAAACCCTTTTTTACATATACATTTTTGGGTCAATTCATGATAAATCAGTTGGCAGCACTTACTGGGATTTCTAATAAGGAAGCTTAGCGCTGGCTCCATGCTTTCTGGCTGCCTGAGTTACATAAAGTGAACCTGTGCAGGGCACAGTCTGAAGCATATATTCAATTTTCCTTCACTCTCCTGCCAACCTGTTTGGCTGCTAGAGGATAAGCTTTGAATCACAGATATGCATGGCTTTGGATTCTCCCCATATGGCAGGGCTAGTGCCCTTGGTGACTGGCCTGAAGCTGTCAAAATGGAGAGAGTAACATGCTGACATGCTAAAAGGAGCAATCAGCTGAACAGAGTTAACTATTTAAACAGATCACACAGTTCATATTTTTGCATTTCAGCTGTGTATTCAGCTGCCTTGGTGGAATTCAGTTTTAACACAGCGATACCACTGATGTCACAGTATCGAGAAAGCTGACAGACCGGTCTCCATCTCTATAGAATGCATTTTCTCTGCACCTTCCACATAGTTCTGTTATCAAACAATGGAAATTCCTTTTACCTCTTTCCTCGGATAGAATCTGAACCAGTTCATAGTCTTCTGCCCGCTCCCCGTCCAAGTTATGTTTGGCCATTGCTTTACGGATCACCACTGGCGTTTTGTCCTGACTCGTCACCTACAAAGCGATGAAAGCCACAGTTAAGAAGAGGGGAAATATGACTTCTTATACTAGCGGCTCCAAGCAGAGCTACGTTAAGCTGGACATAACTTTAATCTGAGCATACAAATCTACTTTAATTTAGGTAGGCCCCAGCACTACATAAATAAAGCCATTCAATTTACATCCAATTGGGTTTGGCCGTCATACTACAAAGGAGACTGTAATGTGTATGGCTTGCGCTAACCACTGAGTATATAACACCTTCCACCTGACCGGCTGCTATAACAAACACTCTCTCTTTGTGCAGATTTAGATTGCTCACCAGGATGCTCTTGTACATGTTGCCGTTATCCACGTCTAGGCTGACCCGGATGATGCAGCAGTCGTCTATTTGCTGGTTGTAGAGTGGGAGAGACAGCGAGGAGTAACTGGAAATGCCAGAGACAGATCGCTTGTGAGTCCGTGAGGCAGAGACAGGAGTGGAGGAGACGGAGGAGGAGGAAGCACTGCTGGAACCTGAACCTATGCCAGACGTGTCCAGAGACGAGAGCGATGTCGATTCCCAGAACTGGGGAAAGAAAATTCTACGTCAGGTACAGTTTTGTGTTGTTGGATCGCAGGCTGGTTTCTTGTATCTCTCGGGCATATCCCACCACTGGATGCCTATCAGAATTCCCATTTATGCCCAACTGACTCTACAAAGCCAAATAATTGGGGAATTCACAATACCCTTATTATGGCCATGTGGGAGGGAGTGGACATGCAAACAATGAAGACGCCTCCCATTGGAGTCTCTCAGAGCTATACAAATTTAACAGGTGATGTTACCCCCTGGTCACACGAAACAAGTAAAACACCAGCCAAAACTTTGTTTAGATGGAATGCAGAAGGGATAGTTTTCCTTTTACTTCCTGCGTTGTCGCCAGTACAGAAAATAAGTGAAAATCTTCTCCCATAGTAACAAAGACAGCAATAAAAACCTGACAGGCATTATAAACATTCCACACTATCAATAATACGTTTTGGATGGAGTCCCACTTCAGTGGACCTGCTAATCTTACCATGACTGAACTAGTGACATGTTACAAAATGGCTACCATATTAGTAGCAAACTAATCTAAAAACTCAGTAAAGCCAACCTACTTGATAAAATATTGACAAATACATGTGCTATTGTATATGTATTTCAGGATAAGATGTGGATATCTAAGATAATTTTCTGGTCCTGAGGGATGAGGTTTTTCTACACACAGCTCACTTCCTGTCCGGTAACCTTACCAAAGGACATTGGACTCAACCTGTCCTCAGATTGCGGTGGCTGATTGTATGGAAGAGCACTGAATGTAAATACAATTTAAAATTTTTTGGTACTACATTTCCAGGGCTTGGACGCTAGTTTGTGTCCTGCCGTTACCATAAGGAAAACTATTGGGGAAAAGCCCAAACCGCATAGTTCTCCTTTAATCACTGATAACACTAAACTGATGAACAGAAAAAGCTTTTTAATCGTTGCCTATGGGCGTTTTTTTGCGATTTTTGCGGGCGCACGCAATTTTAAGGCTTGACATGTTTGGTGTCTATTTACCCGACGTGACCCTGACTTTTATGTTTTACTAAAAAAATGGGTAAGAATAAATGTTTTACAACATAATGTAGGGAAACTTTTTTTGTTTTTTTTTACATTTATGGTACTTTTTAAATTATATAGTAAAAAAAAATACCCCCGTGGTGATTATATACCTCCAAAAGAAAGCTCTATCTGTCCCCAAACTTTTTTAACATAAATTGCAAGGCTATAGTCCGGTCATGCTGACTGGTGAAATTTTTGACTGACTGGTGAGACACTATCAAATTTTTCAAGCCCTGTACATTTCAGTAACATTTACCCATATATTGGTTTTAGCTTTTTGCATAGGTTTTTTTTTTTGTAGCTTAGCTTTACTGGTCCTTTATTTTTTGAACAGACAACACAAACGTCACAAACATATGGGTATATAAGGAAACTAATCCCTGGAAGCAAAATGTAAAGGCTACCCACTGGCATTTTTGAACCTTCGTTTGTAAATGCTAGTCTAACCAGCATCCCATTCACAAAGCATTTCACAACCTTCAGCAGGCATTTGCCAGGCATGCAGTAGCTCAGCCAAGTACCATCCCTGAGCTTCTGAAGTCCACTGTATGTCAGTTGGAGCCTGCTAAAGCTTGCTAAATATCTTGTTAATGATGCAGCCAGCATGGCCATTAAGATCTGCATTCATTGTTCCCAGACAGGAGCAAAAAAAAAAAATTAGAGTGCTTCAAGAAAGCCACCCGACACATTTTAAAGGCAAAGGTTAAAAAATACCAGTTAGTTCTTGGCCTACAGAACACTGTACATAGTTCGTGTTCTGTCATCTGCTTGTTTAGGTTTGACATGCAGAATTCTGAGGTGTTTGATTAATGAAACGTGACATTATTTTTATTTCCGAGTCTTGCTGAGAAGATTATCCAGATCTCAAAAGCAAGTAAAACAAGGAAAGACTTTAAAATGTTTAACACCCATCAATGTCACATTTTCTGGATAGAAATGACACCTAATAATTCACCAAGGAATGCAAGTCATGATTTGCTGGGTTTAGTTTCCTCCACCACTGAACAAAACTAGACAGTATATTGTACAACGCCTTCCACACAGCAAAGCACAGAGAGCAGGGACTGACCCCCACGGAAGCGCAGCGTTCTGTGGCCTGTGCTGGCGGAGCCTGGGGATGTTCCTCTCGTACCTTCTTCTCCTGACAGTCCGGGGACTCAGGCACAAAGCTGATGTTAATCTCTTCTACGTCAGAGCTGCTAGATCCCGCTGAGGTTACGCTAACAGAGTCGGCCATGTCGCCTCCGCAGAGGTGGGGGCTGCACTTGAGCTGATCGAAAGACTTGGAATGCGAGCTGACGCTGGCACATGGCTCTGAGCTGGGTGGCTGGCGGCTGAGAGAGACAGAAAGCACCAGGTTAGACTAAACATGTTTAGAGAAACTGGTCAAAACTAACACTTTATTGTTAATGTTTGCTGCCCAACCTACCTATCTGCGATTGCCCCTATTGAGGTGCAGAGTGTTGATAGTCTAAGAGCCTGTGTTTGTCAGATTTTGTTTGCATCAAACAGGTTTTGCTTTTCCATACAAGTCTATGGGAATGCAAAACCTGCTTGAAGCAGGTCAGACTGAGGTTAACTACAGGTCAAATGCAACTTTCAGTGGATTTTGAATGATCTTGGAAGTGTCTCCAACTGATGTCAAAAGAGTTTGGGCATCTTTACATAGGGGGTGAGCAGACAGATGCCCTAATCAGTGTGCTGCTGTTAGATCACTGGCATAGGGTAGGTTCTAGGGGGCAGGGTAGAATGCTTAACCGCAGTTTAGTCTGCAGGGTGGTTCGGGACCCTGGCAGGGATGTCCGATTACAAGACTATTTAAACAGAATAACAAATCCTTTGGCATATATAAAACAGTTGGCATATAGGTCTTTCAACTGTGTACTGACCATTAAAGAACAACTGCACCTATGGCATAATGGTCTTTAACTATTCCCGCCCCAAGCCCCAGAGTGATGCTGAACTCATCCAGCACTTACCTTGGCCCCTCATTTAAGCGATCTTTATTGTGCTGCTCCATTCGTAGGATCACAGACTTTTTGCAAAAATCATCCCTTCTGGCTCCTCTTCGTCCTGCACACATGCCCCATGGCATATTCATTCCTATAGGTAAGCTGTACTTATGTTTGTTTCCAGCGGTCCCGCAGAGTAGGACTCTCCCCATAGAAATAAATGGGGCCACAGTACTCATGTGCAGGAAGAAGAGGACACCTTTTTGGAGAAAGTCTGTGCAAATAATAAGCGGAGCAACACACTGAATATCACCAAAACGATGATTTAATAACCTCAAGAGTTTAAAGTTAAGTCCAGATTTTTAATTGGAGAAATGGGTTTCTGTGTTCTTCTAACTGAAGTAATCCCACCCACAGCAAATGCTTTGAATCTTGGCCAGCATTTTGGTATAATTTTGATTTGATCCAATTACTGATTGCTGGACCAAGCCAGTAAAATACCTATATAGAACCAAGACTAATAAAACGGAACACATATGGTGGGGCATGAGAGGGGACACTTACTCGCTCCATCGTTTTATGATCCCTGTGTTTTTCTTGGCCTTCAACGTGTTACTTGCTGATTCTGACAAGGGTTCAATTTCACAGGATAAGCTATAGCTGCAGGAACAAGAAAACAATATACACATGAGAACAGGAACCAGTTAGAACACGGACACAATAAAACTCCAAAGATAAAAAAAAAAGCACGTCAACACTTCTACACTACAAAATATGCACCTTTCCGCCTCGGTCAGTCGCTCCACACTGTGGAACCATTCCACAAATGAATCTTCGGGTGTGAAGCTGTAGTTATTACAGGCCGACTGCAGTAGTTTTATCTGAGCAATAACTTCAAACTCCTGAAAAGAAAAATGACAACACATATAAAAACAGTTTATAAACTTTAATTATCCTCATCTATAATCACCGGTAGTAGTCAAATATAAAATCACAATGAATGGGCTAAGCTTAACAACACAGTCCTAATCTACCTGTGTATTAGTCAAAACCAAGACTCACCTTCCTTCTCTTTTCAAAGTTTATAAGGCCACCCTGCAAAAAAAAAAAACCACAAAGAGTTCATCAATGAGTGATTGCAATAATCAGGCCCACTTAGAGCTATGTGTACCTACAATGGCTACATAACACAGTCCCATTGCCATGTAAGGATTACAACCCTTTCTTTTAAGGAATACTTCTTATAAATGTTCCTTTTTCCTCTAAGTTCCAGGTACATGTGCACAAATCCCCAATGCCCACTTCTATGGCTCATCATGCCGAGAAGGCCTGAGCCAAGAAAAACTTCTAGCTCCTATAAAGCAATGGGAGCTCTCTCCTTGTGTGATCAGTACTATTAGCATTATGGAATTATTATTATTACTACGTAAAGAGTAAAGACTCAAACATACTAAGTGATGGTTCTAGAGAGATGAAGTTTGCACATTTAGCTCTTACTAGCCGCATAATTAATAGTTTCTACTAGGGATGCACCGATACCACTTTTTCAAGACCGAGTACAAGTACCGATAGTTTTGCTCAAGTACTCGCAGATACCAATTACCGATACTTTTTCTTAAAGGGACAGGTCACATTTTTTCTAAAGCAATACAAACTAATGCTTTAAGGTCACTTTCTTAATATTATGATTCATGAGATGACGAGGGAGCATGACGCCGGCTTCCCGGCCAATCAGAATGCCGGGCGCTGCGTCATTGCACGCTACCCGGCTTCCTGATTGGCCGGGAAGTCGGCTCCATGCTCTCTCATCACAAGTGACGACAGAGCATGGAGCCGTTTCCTGGCCAATCAGGAAACCGGGCAGCGTGTAATGATGCGCTGCCCGGCTTCTTGATACAGGAAGTACTCGTGCTAGGTATCGGAGCATTTGGGCGAGTACGAGTACTCACCCAAATACTCGGTATCGGCACCGATATTAGTATCGGTGCATCCCTAGTTTCTACAGATATTTTAAAACATTTTCTTGTTTGTTAATTAGCTCTTCCTAAACATTTTTGTTTATAAATGACAACACATATAAAAACAGTTTATAAACTTTAATTATCCTCATCTATAATCACCGGTAGTAGTCAAATATAAAATCACAATGAATGGGCTAAGCTTAACAACACAGTCCTAATCTACCTGTGTATTAGTCAAAACCAAGACTCACCTTCCTTCTCTTTTCAAAGTTTATAAGGCCACCCTGCAAAAAAAAAAAACCACAAAGAGTTCATCAATGAGTGATTGCAATAATCAGGCCCACTTAGAGCTATGTGTACCTACAATGGCTACATAACACAGTCCCATTGCCATGTAAGGATTACAACCCTTTCTTTTAAGGAATACTTCTTATAAATGTTCCTTTTTCCTCTAAGTTCCAGGTACATGTGCACAAATCCCCAATGCCCACTTCTATGGCTCATCATGCCGAGAAGGCCTGAGCCAAGAAAAACTTCTAGCTCCTATAAAGCAATGGGAGCTCTCTCCTTGTGTGATCAGTACTATTAGCATTATGGAATTATTATTATTACTACGTAAAGAGTAAAGACTCAAACATACTAAGTGATGGTTCTAGAGAGATGAAGTTTGCACATTTAGCTCTTACTAGCCGCATAATTAATAGTTTCTACTAGGGATGCACCGATACCACTTTTTCAAGACCGAGTACAAGTACCGATAGTTTTGCTCAAGTACTCGCAGATACCAATTACCGATACTTTTTCTTAAAGGGACAGGTCACATTTTTTCTAAAGCAATACAAACTAATGCTTTAAGGTCACTTTCTTAATATTATGATTCATGAGATGACGAGGGAGCATGACGCCGGCTTCCCGGCCAATCAGAATGCCGGGCGCTGCGTCATTGCACGCTACCCGGCTTCCTGATTGGCCGGGAAGTCGGCTCCATGCTCTCTCATCACAAGTGACGACAGAGCATGGAGCCGTTTCCTGGCCAATCAGGAAACCGGGCAGCGTGTAATGATGCGCTGCCCGGCTTCTTGATACAGGAAGTACTCGTGCTAGGTATCGGAGCATTTGGGCGAGTACGAGTACTCACCCAAATACTCGGTATCGGCACCGATATTAGTATCGGTGCATCCCTAGTTTCTACAGATATTTTAAAACATTTTCTTGTTTGTTAATTAGCTCTTCCTAAACATTTTTGTTTAAAACGGAACTCCAGGCACATATAAAAGACACAAATGGTTGCAGTTCTGTGTTCATTAAGGGAGGGAGAAGCAGCACAAGAAGCCGATCAGCTGTGCTGCAGTGCTTATATGTTAACAAGGGATGGGCTGATGGGAAGAGAATGCAGAGTGACAGAGATGATCCTATCAGTCTGCTGCTCCTCCTTTCACTGTTTGCACTGCTAAGAGGATGTAGGTGAACTCAGACTTTTCCAGGATTCACTCAGGAAAACAAGTAAAAGTTTATAGGTTTACAGAGTATCGTTACACACTGAACAAGGAACAAAACGCAAAGCACCCTACCTCTAAATAATCCTTCATTGCAGTGTCCAGCATCACCAGGTCAGTGAGAAAAGTGCCCAGATAAGGTATGGTGCCCTGCATAACTCCCTGCAAACAGAAGGAGATGTATGAACATTAGCGGGCACTAGAGGGTGCACCTAGAAAAAGTCATCCCATTCTGCAGAGGAGTTACCTACCATTTCTCTCTGCTGCTGTTGCCTCTTCTGCGCTCTTTTAGGATTAATATCCAGGGTTGCAAATTTAGAAGTGCCCTCCTGCAAAATGAACAGAAAGAATGGAAAGTTAATTGCAGAGTTCTATATGTACATGTCTAAAAGAGAAACAAAAACCAAGAGCCATACACAAAATACAGGCAAACATGCTTACTGGGGAATACTTGGCTGGTAACCCGCCAAAAGCCACGGACTGCCTAGGGCTGGAGAACAACACACAAGCCTCCCATCGAACAGACCTCTGAATGAATGCCAGCCCCCTCAGAACAATGTAAACTATGCGTGAGCAATTGTTTCACGGCGATATGTCGCTCGGCGATAATATGAGGAATTCACGTGAAAGGCCAATCCCAGGTTTGCGACCAGGCCAAGAATAGAATAACATTTATGTCACTGCCCTAGCTGCATAACAGAGATTAAAATGTGTTTTACAAGTGCCGGGCAGCTGCCTCTGAGGTGGACAGACGTGGGAGCAAAGTATTCTGGGAATGCGAGGCGAAAAGCCTAGCTGGTGAATAGCTAGGTGCCCACTCAGGAGTCTGGAATCTTTTGTGCACGACACATTTATCTTCATTCTACACAAACATCAGCAGCCATTTCTAAAGAGGATTTTTAATGAGACACTTTTCTCTGAAGACAGAGGGGGTAATTCATCAAAACTGGAGCAGACAAAATCTGGAGCAGCTGTGCATGGCAACCAATCAGCTTCTCTCTTCAGTTGGTTCAGTTAAGATTTGAAAATGAAAGAGTGAAGCCGATTGGTTGGCATGCACAGCTGCTCCAGATTTTGTCTGCTTAAGTTTTGATAAATTCCCTTTGCCACAATCCTATGCTGCTCCATTTTGTGTTAGAGCAGAAACTCAAACCCAATGTAAGCAATGCGTTACAAAGGGTTGACGACTTCCTCCTCTTCATGTAAGTGTTCATACTGCACCCTGGAAGAGTTCTCATGCTCCTTCATACCTGGAAGCATCAGGTATTTTGCAGTTCCGACAGAGAAGCAAGGGAACTCAGCGAGGTGAGTATTAGTAGGTCAGAGCAGGCCTATAAGGAACTCTGAATGGGTGAAGGGACATTCTTCTTCAAGAAAAAGTTCATATTTCACCACAGTCCACTCAAATCTGATATTTATGTTTTTATAACATGCTGGAAGCTCACGTTCATGGCTCTTTGCTTGTGTCTAAGCTGCTCAGTACAATTCCTTAAACAACTGAATGGCAAATCAAAGCAACTCCGATGCAAGTTAAAGGTCATTGAAAACATAGCCCAAAGTTATGGTAGTCATATCTCACAGCTGGAGATCTCCGGAGATACAGAAAACAGCAGGACATTTAGCTCTCCAAATGCCACCTAAAATTGTAATATCTATTTTTGGTCAGCTGGTCTTTAAAAAAAAAAAAAAGAAGGAAAAAAAATGCAGACATTGCTCACTACCCCTGTATGCACTTCTCTCTTTCTTTGACTACCGTATGTTTCTCCAGCACTGAGGGTTCCAAATTACAGGTTATAGCAGCCTTTTTCGACCAGGATCCCATGGAACCCCAGGGCTCCTTCAGAGGCTACTAGGGGTTCCTTGAGTAGTCAGCATTGGCGCACAGATCTCCCACATATTGGTGCCTGCCTAGTACCAGCACTAACGTGATTTGGCAGAGCCAATGGCGTGGTACCATTGGAGCATCTTATCTTTTCTCGCAGGTGATTAACAGTAACAGCAATTACAAATATCCCAGTGACCGCAATATATAAAGGAATTCTTCCTACGGATCCCAATGTTAGGGAGCCCTTCTCCCCATCAATGTAAGGGGGCCCTTCTCCCACCGATCACACTAAGGTACCAGAAGCTCTAGGTCCCTTGAGACCTGAAAATGACTTCAAGGGTTCTTCTTGACTTAAAAGTTTGGAAAGGCTGGGATGGGGGATAGGGTGATTCTAGCATACATTTTCTTTTTAAAGGAACACTTTGAAGTCCTATGTGATCCGCCATGGCAACCATTTAAAGGAGGAACAAGGACAGAGCAAAGTGAAGAATCATGAAAGAAATGTAATTACAAAATAACTAAGAAAAAGCTGAATGTACTGTGAACATATCAGACATGGAACAGATAATAGAAGTACACTTTCAGGCTGCCTGTTGCTTTTGATGAGGTATGAAAACGTGGGCTAAAAAGGAATGAAGCTGGCCAATAATCTGCTCCTGGCTCTGTCTGGACAGGAGAGATAAGGAGAGGGATTCCCTTATACTCCTACACACATCAGCACGCCCAGTCTGACACACTGAACCTGCACTTGGCCTGGTGTGAGCAAGAGGGTGTGTACCAGGGGTTCCCCTTTCCGATAAGAAGGATGACATAAGAAAGCAGCAAGCTTCTATGTGTGGCACGTACACACCAGCCCTATCAGAGGTACCCTGCTTACGCTCAGAAAATTGGTGGGGGAGGGCTGGCAGGAAAAAATAAACCTAACAGGAAGAAGAAGAGCTAAAAAGGAGATAATGCACATAAGGGAGAAGAGAAAAACAAGTATACTGCATGTCTCAATTGTGGCCATTTAAAAACCCTGCTGATAATGACATGTGGTCAACAGCTATGTGCAATGCGGTGCATCATCAGATAACGTCCATTGCCCCACAGCAAGAGTTCTTTATTTCAAAGACTTTAAAAAGGGAAACTATTATGTACTAAAAATGTATGCATGGGCAAAAAAACCAAAAGAAAACATTCAGCACATCTCTCCAATACACGCACATCTCTCCAATACACGCACATTTGCCCATATGTTATCTCTTTAAAAATGTAAATACCGAATAATTAATGCTTGCTGACCATGCCAGAAATGCAGTGAGCTCCTATTTTCCTGCGTATGCTGCCCCAGGTGCACTGTCCCAAGTAGTGTTATCAGCCATGCCCAGTTCTTCCCTGTGAACTACTGAACACCTCCCCTCTGCATGTTTCAAATCGTGCTTTATTAACACTCACCTTAATCAACAGCTCGCGGCTTAAAGAGTGGTTGTTCTCATCCGAAAAGATTTCAGAAAGTTCCATAAATATCCGAAAGCTCTCTCTGAAGGAAGAGGAAAAAAATGACTGTTGGTGGGAAGGTTTGGAAGGGCAGTTCAAATTCAGGACAGTAAAAGCAATGTAGTAAATGGACTTCTACTTTATGAAATGGCTTCAGGCTTAGTCAGTTAAGCAAAAAGCAAGGCAGAACTTGCAGTAAACTACAGCAACCAATCAAAATTATTTTTCACTAGTCTACCTACAGTAAAAAGTAACATCTAATTGATCCTTATGCATTGAGCTAGCAGGCAACTAGAAATATCACTTTTGAGTGGACTGCTCCTTAAAAATTAATACGTAAAAACAAATTAAATATTGCCAGGTCCATGAGAGATGAACCTGAATTGTTACTATTCTTTACACACATTGCATTGCTTTTTAGATAAATGATCTGATGCAACCACAGCCACGGTGATCCATCCTCACCTAGAAACTTCATCCCAGGTCTTCTTCAGCCTGTGAATGGCGTTACACTGCAGAGCCGACAAGATGGCGCGCAGAGAGGAGAAATTCTTTAAAATACGACATTCCTACAGACAAAGAGAATTGTATTTAGAAGGCTATTTAAAGACTCATATTGATAACTAGAGAATAGTTATGTTTGAGAGCTAAGCAGGCATGTGTCACACGTACCCTGGCCACGTCTATCCATCGCTCTATAATTTTGGCTCTTTGCTGGGGCTTTAGCGACCGGTCGCTCAGGCACGTGGATATGACGCAGTTGGTGACGCTATTGAACTGGGAGACGGTGGCACGGATGGTTGGCGCCAGATGTTCCTTGCCTTTCTTATCTCTTTGGGACCAAATGCAACCCAGGCAGTGGTAAGGCACCACCTTCTTGAAGAGATTCTAAGATACAGATAAGTAAGGTTGTGAGAATAGAGCCAAATCATTAAAATGTAAAAGGGGGAGAGAAATTGAAGAAATCAGAAGTGGAGGTTTAGTTGAGAGGACATGAATTGCCTTTAATTGTATCCAGTAGAGGTGTATTATTATACTAGATATTAAATATTGTGATTGATAGCAGGCACTGAGGCAATCTGTGGCTCCTTTTTTCTATGACTATATTGATTTATTGATACAGCCAGATTCAAAAAGATGTCCTGACATTAATATAACTAGACTAAATATGGCTACAACTCCCCCAAATCAATGACCAAGGATGGAACTTTTTCTATTAACCACTATGGACACTTCAAAAGGCATGCACAGGTGCAGTGAAAGTAACTATAAAATGAATATCATACTTTGCTGCCCTGCACTGCCATATTCATCAGAAAGCATTAGGAGATAAAAGAATGCATTTTGTACAGGACTTACAGCATCCATGACGGTAAACTGTTCAGCCACCATATCCTGCCGGAAAAACAGGAAGTCTGGCTTCGGCTCTAAGAGGGAGCTCTCGTCCAAGAGACGGAAAGTGCAACTTGAGTGGTCCAAAACTGTAAGATGAGATGGGAAAATGATGTAAAGTGTGCAGGCTTATGTAATACAAAAATGGAAATATAGTATAGCAAGCATTTGAAAACGGGAAGGTCACAACAATAACTCGCAGTTTAGCACTTGCGAATTAGAATGCTTTACTATTATTGCAGGTATTTATATATCGCACAAACAATCTACACCATGCTTTACATAATGCGTATTCACATCAGTCGCTGCCCTAAAGGAGCTTACAATCTAAGGCCCCTGTCTTACATGCATACACACACATACAAGGGACAATTTAGACAGGAGCCAATTAACCTACCAGTATGTCTTTGGAGTGTGGGTGGAAACCAGAGTACCCGGAGAAAACACACACACACACACACACCATGTAAACTCCATGCAGATAAGTTTCCTGGCTGGGATTCAAACCAAGGACCACTGGGCCAACATGCTATTGTACAAGTCTGAATTTGTCAATACCCATTCATGCGATACATCTTTTACAACACCCTGCAGGCTATGTATTCTAGAGCAGAAGTTACAGATAGTCTTAAAATTTTGCCTGAAGTTAGCAGCGAATCAAGCAGGCCCGCACACCACTCACCATCCTGATCCACCTCGCTAATTTCCTGCCGCTGGAACTGGGTCAAAAGATTGCGTGCTCTGCGCTCCATGTCCGAGCCAGGGATATTGTGCCGCACATAAGCGATAATAATTGCCTTTAATTGTATCCAGTAGAGGTGTATTATTATACTAGATATTAAATATTGTGATTGATAGCAGGCACTGAGGCAATCTGTGGCTCCTTTTTTCTATGACTATATTGATTTATTGATACAGCCAGATTCAAAAAGATGTCCTGACATTAATATAACTAGACTAAATATGGCTACAACTCCCCCAAATCAATGACCAAGGATGGAACTTTTTCTATTAACCACTATGGACACTTCAAAAGGCATGCACAGGTGCAGTGAAAGTAACTATAAAATGAATATCATACTTTGCTGCCCTGCACTGCCATATTCATCAGAAAGCATTAGGAGATAAAAGAATGCATTTTGTACAGGACTTACAGCATCCATGACGGTAAACTGTTCAGCCACCATATCCTGCCGGAAAAACAGGAAGTCTGGCTTCGGCTCTAAGAGGGAGCTCTCGTCCAAGAGACGGAAAGTGCAACTTGAGTGGTCCAAAACTGTAAGATGAGATGGGAAAATGATGTAAAGTGTGCAGGCTTATGTAATACAAAAATGGAAATATAGTATAGCAAGCATTTGAAAACGGGAAGGTCACAACAATAACTCGCAGTTTAGCACTTGCGAATTAGAATGCTTTACTATTATTGCAGGTATTTATATATCGCACAAACAATCTACACCATGCTTTACATAATGCGTATTCACATCAGTCGCTGCCCTAAAGGAGCTTACAATCTAAGGCCCCTGTCTTACATGCATACACACACATACAAGGGACAATTTAGACAGGAGCCAATTAACCTACCAGTATGTCTTTGGAGTGTGGGTGGAAACCAGAGTACCCAGAGAAAACACACACACACACACCATGTAAACTCCATGCAGATAAGTTTCCTGGCTGGGATTCAAACCAAGGACCACTGGGCCAACATGCTATTGTACAAGTCTGAATTTGTCAATACCCATTCATGCGATACATCTTTTACAACACCCTGCAGGCTATGTATTCTAGAGCAGAAGTTACAGATAGTCTTAAAATTTTGCCTGAAGTTAGCAGCGAATCAAGCAGGCCCGCACACCACTCACCATCCTGATCCACCTCGCTAATTTCCTGCCGCTGGAACTGGGTCAAAAGATTGCGTGCTCTGCGCTCCATGTCCGAGCCAGGGATATTGTGCCGCACATAAGCGATAAGCTGCTTTAAACAGACATAATCAGGCGCCTGGCGAAAATCCTCTGAATACTGATCCAGCCATGCTCCTAAGATGGAGGAGATGGTGCTGTTGGAGAAATTGAAAACATGGATTTGGTTTTAGGCAACGATAAATCAATAATCTGTATTCTTAGGATAGCAGGCACTGAGGCATGAGGATGAACCTGGATTTTCTTTTTGTGTATAATATACTTAATGTAGACCCTTCAGTAAAATACACTTGCTCTTATGTAGCCTAGCCTAGGCCAACATCACATGTACTCTGGCTTCATAGAGGAAATATGGGTGTTGAATGCCATTAGAGACAACCGGGGGGGTCTATCCTCAATCAGAAAGACACAGTCTGGTAAACTTTTAGTGAAATATGAGAAATATCCAGGCACAAGCAATGTGCCGCACTACTAAAAAGAAAGCAAAAATGGCTGTCCCCAGATGCATACATATTTACACATTACTCAAGGTTTTTAAAATGTAAGAACAGACCTTCCCCTTCCAGGTCCACTTTAGCTTCACGCAATCTTCCCATCGCAATAAAAATACAGCTTTATCGTTTTTTTTAGCCAGTTCCACCCCTGCCGCTATTTTTACCTATTTGAGAATGAGGTGTCCCTAAATCCGGCCTCCTGGGATATGCAGATCACATATCCCAGGAGGCTGCAGGAGAGATGGGACTCAAAAGCAGCCAGGGGCTGCTGCAGAACCTGGAAAACACAGCTGGCTCCAGAAGATGATGGTGATGCGGGACCCGTCCTCTGGTTGCAGATCGGTGGATTACAGCAGGACAATGTTGGATTTGTGGGTTATGTTATTTCAGTGTTTGCTGGTGAGCACCCAGAAAGCAGGTAAGAGAAATTTTTTGGGGAAAAAAGCTGGATTGGGAGTGGGGGAGGGGAGCGGGGGGGGGGGATGATGAAGGTTTTTTTTAATGCTCAATAAGATTACTAACATTTAGCTGATCTGAAGAAAAAAATGAAACCTGCCAATACACTTTATGTACTGTACAATTCTAGGATCCTAAAAAAATGAAAGTGTACTTATCTTGTCAATAAAAGCCATATGTGCAATATAGGGTGTAATATTTGCTGCACTGAGATAGATTAAACTCAAGGGCTCATCTCAGGAGGGCAGCCGCGCCAATGTAAGAATGTGTAGAAACGATATTTCTTTTAATCTGCAGTTTCCAGCCTTAGGAAGCCAGACTTTAAGCCGTTTAAGACGGGGCTTTCCGAGGCAATGTCTGGATCATGCTCCCACCAGCCCTCTGCCTTTTGATCTCAGAGAAAAAAAATAAAAGGCTGTAAAAGACCAGCTACCGGAGCAAAAAACTGCTGAGGAAGCAAAGGTTTTGGTTTCCTTTTGGACAGTATGAAACATTTCTCTGTTAAATCTACTTCAACTACTTGTAGTTGAACGCTTAATTCCAATCACGCAACACATAACGTTTTAGGATCTGCCAAGGGAAATATAAAAGGAGAGATGGCAGAAAAAGATGAATGGTCCATCGAGTCTGCCCCTTTTTATTTTTTGGGCTTAGTTTGGTTTGTTTTTTGTCCGAGTATAGATCTATATTTTTGGCCATAATTGTTAAGGGAAGGGCAAAGTGCAGTAAATCAACAACAATCACATTTAACTTTTCACTACTTTATAATAATCAAAATGAAATAGGTCTGCCGATATGCTGCTGTGGCTTACTGCACTTAGAACATTGCTTACTGTAATATTACATAAAAGGTTGCACATCTTTGCCTGTATAAATTCCCATCTTTATGTAAAGATTTTTCAATTACAAGCATACGAGCACAATGCATTAACTGATGATTTACAGAACAGTTTATGGAAGAAGGGTAATAAAGTGCTATCAACCGTGTCTATCCATAAATCTAAATAATCAGATGTACTGAAAGCATCAAATTAACTGTCAGACATAAGGAACTGACCTCTCGGGTAAATACAGTAACTTATAAAATGATGTCACAGAGGTTCATTTCATTTAACCCAAAAATAAAAGGGATTAAGAGGGAAGAATACATGTAGGTGCTTAAAAAGGGGGAAAGTGAGCTGGGCCACACTCAAACATGGGTCTCAAGAAGATGGCATCTCACTTTCACTTCACAAGCCCCAACTGTGTATTCTGCAAACAGAAATCCACTATTAATACCAGCCGGTCCATACACTGCTCAGTGCTGGCTCCCCACTGACAGACTATATATCGTATATAAATTGAATACATTTTACACAAATTCCGTGTGAATCCAAGGCCCATTTACAAAGGTGTGTTTAAAAGTCCATGCCTTTTTCGTGTGTTTTGAGCACAGGAGGACAAACCAAGATTGATGCAACTTACTTTTTTAGCTCAAGCCGGTCATCCACAGTGTTATGGGAATGTTCACCATTAAGTTGAGGATGGAGGCGCCCAAACCTTGAAAACAATATTGAAACTCAGTTCGGCATTTTACATTTCTGCCCGATGACTGTCCTAAATACACACTACTCCTTTAAGAAGCTCTTTAGGAGCAGAACCTGTTGTACTGGATTAGTCTGAGCTGAATTTCACACCATCACTGAACTTTGTCACATTCCTGCCATGTGTTTAAATAATCCAAAGATTTACTTGATGGCTCATCAGCAATACAATTATAGATCTGCGTTAATAACATGATCTGTGATCAGTTAATGAAAAGTTATGCAATTATTATCCAACACCACAGGCTCATTTGCTGTCAGCACATTTTGTTTCATAGTTTCAGAAGAAACTCAGTTAAGTGTAATAGGAGGCATGCATAAATGTAAATCGAGGGAATATTTTCTATAATAATTTTTTGCATATATCAGGATCCTTAACCCCAATTTGGCACCCCAGTCTTTAGTAGGTCGAGAGGTTCTGTATCTGCAACAAATGGATCACGCCGTGTGAAAATTGTTGAACAATGTTCTGAAACAGTGACAGAATGCAGTCATTGTCCAGACAGATTTTCCACTCGCTTAGCTTTTTCCCCATATACATGGCACATACTAAACTATGCTCAAATGGATGAGACGTGGACTAGCCAAACCAACTTAAACTTGTATGACCACATCTGTCAGAGTTAAAGTTTTGTGTACAGGCCACACCGCAATGCTGAGCAGAAGACAGCACATTACCTCTCATTCAAAGATCGTATTGGTCAGTATATGACAATATCTACCACAAATCTTGTCCAATATCCAAGCAGAAAACATCTGGCCAAGGGTGTCATCTGCCTTCCAAATACAACTTAATAGATTATATTCATGACCTAATTTACTTTAAAGCTGGACCCTTCACACTGGCCTGAACTCAACGCCTGGTCAACCAAATCCAAGTTGATCCACCCCAACCAACCTACACTTCAAGCTTGACCTTCCATAATTTAAAAATGGAATCCGTCCATCAATCTATTTCACTCACTTGTTTAGTAACAAGTCCAACAGTTGCTTGGTGGTCGCGAAAGCCCGGTATGTGCACAGGAAAATAGTGACATAAGTGGAGTCATTGCCTTTGAACGCAGAGACCAGGTATTCCACCAGCTTCTCCAGAGTCCCAGCTTTGATGGTCCGAACTTTGCATGTCTCGTACAGACTCAGCCCCGACTCATTCTCAAACTGAATTGGAAGAGAAAGAGAGAAAAAAAGAAAACACATTATGTCAATCAGTTCCATAATTTACTATCAGAGATGGCTTGCCTTAGGAATTAGCAAGGACTTGTTTACCAGCTGGTAAAAAAGCAAGATGTTGGGTTCATTCTCAAACTGAATTGGAAGAGAAAGAGAGAAAAAAAGAAAACACATTATGTCAATCAGTTCCATAATTTACTATCAGAGATGGCTTGCCTTAGGAATTAGCAAGGACTTGTTAGTGCTACCAGCTGGTAAAAAAGCAAGATGTTGGACAGCAAGCATCAGACATTAACAAGCAGCCCAGGTTAAATTAGCATGAAGAAGGGGTTTTGTGCAATACGTCAGTCAATGACTGTGTGAAAGTTATTGTATTCATAACACACTTTTAAACAAGAAACTACAAAAGAGGAAAAAAGCTAACTGCTGCGGGTGATTACCATAGTCTAAGGCAGTGTTTACTGAACACTTATTTGGAGGGGTACAAATATCTCAACCCTTGCCATCACTTGAAGCCAACTGTAAATAATCCTAGTTTCAATTAAAGCCTTTGGGATCTAGAGGTCTTTAAGGTTAGGCTATTGATGTTAGCCCTGCAATCTGTACTACGTTCCTTTCTGATCTCTATGCCATGTATGTTGGCCAAAAAATAGTTAACCCTATAGTTACTCTCTCCCCCAAAAAAAGCCTTTACATAGATCAAACCAAATGTATTTAGTTGCCTTTCATTACTATATCACATTCCTGATAGATTGAGTTGTCCTCTAAAGGTACAATGTAGGCTTAACTGATCTTTTAGTGTTACCTTTCAGTGGCATACAATTCGATTTATTTCACAAATGTGGCATACTAAAACTGCACTAAAACCAGCCAGTTCTTTGAGATAAAAACAATAATGGAACCTCAAGTACATTCTTGTAAGGTTTTAGCACCTACACGATCTATGGAATGCTGTTGGTAGCATGCTTTTACTGCTGTCATTGTTAGTCAATACCATTACCTGCTGACACACTACACAAAACCTCCACATGAGTTTCAGGAAACAAATGACACTTTCATGTTTAAAACATACAGATATGTATGATGTAGATGTTTATATAAAAAGGTAAAGCATTATACTTTTATATTCAGGTCGAGTCTTCTGCCAGCTTTTTGAGCTATATATGGCATGGAAATCTCTTCCCCAAGATCTCAAGACCATTCCCCACTGTGTCCATGACATACCATGTTTGGGTTTGAGTTAAGCAGAGGTGCCACTGTCTCCAGGTGGATTCTCTATTGGTATACAGTATATGGAGGTTAAATGCCCAGTCAACAGCATCCATCCCCCACCGTTTATTTATAACAGCCCATAATTACAAAATATTCTACATTGATGACTGCAATCATCAAGGACTCCTAAGGTCGCATGGACCTTCCGTTATGGAGCTGGAGGAAGCAATCAACGTGTTCCATTAAAAACTACAAGTACCTACAGTACAGGGTAGATAGTGCAGGGGGAAGAACCCTACAATTCAGGTTGGCTTAGGGAGTTGATACTCTGACAGATCTGGCCAATCAATTCCAATTCTCTCCTTTGACAGAGATCATGAGACCAATGCTCTAGCATTTGATCATGTGACGTGACCAGCTCAAGAGGGAGCGTAAAGAAGAATTTTTTTTGCAGAAAAAGTATTTTAATGCTTCTATTTATGCATTTAAAAGGTAGCAGGAAAACAGGGAGATTATTTCAGTATAGCTTTGACTTAATGATTATGATATACAGCTCTACCCGTCATCTGCAAAGCATCCTGGGAGTAGTACTCAAATTAGCGGGACAGCAACAAGTTCCCCATCATGTAGACTATTTTAACTTATGACAGGATATGATAAGCTATGTGCACAGCCTTCCTTCCTGGTGTTAATGTCACAGATGTAACGTGCTGAATGTGTACATTGCACTGAGTTATATCATTCTATTCCTCTGGGATACAATGGAATGTGTATACTGTATATTTCATTTCCCCCAGCATACCTTTTCTCGAGTGTGTTTGATTTTACCCTTCCGTCCCAGAATTCTCGAAACTAAACCACTTCCCCTGAGACTAGTGAAGGTCAGGATCCTCAATGGACTGAGTTACTGTAAGATCTTGGCTGACCTCCACTTGGCCGGCGCATGGGCTGCTCCCGCCCTGTCCCTGACATGGACTCTGTCTGGCTGAGGTAAGACTAATGATACAAGCAGTCTCTTTCAACAAGGGAGTCTATTTTTCATGTTACAGCTGGAGATTATATAGTCTAGAGAACAAAAGGGAGAGTTCCCTCCCTCCTTTAACCCAATAAAGTACTGTTTCTCAACTGTAACAAACTAATGCCATCCCCCCTCCCCCTTTACAATGATCATGCTTACTCCTGTGTATGGGTCAGCTTCTCTCAAGTACTGCATATGTACCTGTATCTATGTACCTATATATATTTCTTTAGGCAGGGCTGGGTCAAATCAGGAGCCAGGTAGCCAATGCTCCTTAGAAATTACAGATGGCACCCAACTTTTGAGGTTTTCTTTAGTTGTTAATAGATCTGGCTCCCAAAACAAATTCTGCTGTGGTGGACATTTTGCAGTCCTAACAAGTCCCACTGTATCCTTAGCGAGTGTTAGCATGCAAGTGAGGACCAGTTCTCTTGATGTGTTAACCAACTAAAATGAAATGGCCCCTTTTCTGAGGTGAATCAACACCCTATTTACACAAAGGTGGTGATGATCACCTTGTTCTGAAATCTGTTCCAGGCATGGAAGTCCAAGGTGAGAGCAGTTATTAGAAGTAGCAGCAGATAACATACAAGCATAGAAAATTAATACACAGATTAAATGATTACAAGGTTCAGTTTAGCAGACACTGCTCATCACGTGCAGACAAAGTCAGGATCAGCCAGGGTGGAGCCATGATTGGATGGGTATAAGGTATGTGCATGAAAGTCTATGGAGAGCAGCCACAAAGGCTGAAGTGTGAAGTGGATTCATACAAGGACTGCAGCAGAACTAAAGAGCTTTAGTTTCTGTATCAAAACTTTTAAATTGTAGTTGTGCCATCAGGATATTTGATTACATAGCCAGAAAGATTAGGTCTTGGGGTATGTTTTTCTATTTGTAGCGAGCATTTTTCCTGCTTAGCTAAACAGGAGCTGTATTGTTTTGTGTCCTTATAAAAAGACAAATGGCTGCCGAGTCAATTTCAACATTAGATTTGGATAATCCAACATGCGGCCATCATTATAGGCTTTATCCAATAAAATAGTGCTAGGAGGGCGTCAAAATGCAGAATACAATAGCAACCAATTAATTGTAATTATTGCTATAGGTTGACGTAAACTGCACCTTCCCATTTGCTCGTTTGCTTGGTTGAACCAAATTATCCAAAGTATGCTTAAATTGTGTGTGAAAGGCATGAGGATCTTTTAATTAATAGACACACAAGGGTAGGCACACACAGGTGTTAGTGAAAACAAAGCTGGCAGATCACAAATACGATGGCTCATTCCTGCTTTCCTCTGTCTGCCCTGACCACATAAAAATTAGGAATCATTTTACGGAACCCAAAGAGGCCCCTCCGCCTCCCGCCATCCCAGTTCAACACTATCCCTGTCTTCCTCACCGTGGTATCCCGGGATCCGGCAAGCCCGCCTTCTGCAGTGCCCATGGGAGACGGTACCCTGCTTACCCCCAGCCATCGCTGCCCCTTGTTGGCGGTGTGGTGGAGCTGCACTTTGCGGAGTGATATGCTGTAGATAACACCGTCATCCAGCTCTTCTCCAATCTCCTGCGCGGAGCTCTGTTGGGAAGAAGAAAAAAGGGGTTAATTATTCTCATTGAACAGTGACATGATAAAATGTGTATGCAGCACAAGGAGGTGGTGGCCATTTTGTTTGCTGCGGCCATGCACAGTAGAATGTCACTATGCACAGAAAAACAGAAAATCATCCTTTCATTAATCTGACTACATGGAAGTTATAAAGCCAGACATCTAATTGGTTGCCCTGGACCTCATCCCTGCACTGTTCATGTAACAGCTACATAGCTTCTTAGTCCCTGCGTCCTGTTCAAAAGCCGCTCTCCATTGGAGCTTCTTTCTCAACGGAAACTTCAGTAATCCTCTCTCGCAATGTAATCGGATCCACGGCCTCCCTGATAATGACACCCACTACAACATGTCCACAGCAGCTGCCAGTCACCAGATGGCCAAGAAATACGCATCAAATAATAAACAAAATGCGATTACCGAATAAACCTGTTAAGGGATTAAATGGCTTTTGTTTTTATTTTTTTTTCACTGCCATTAATACCACAGACTTGAAAAAAAAAAGAAAAATACAGGTTATTTTAAACCCAAGCAAACTGCTAGATTGCGAGCACCTAAGCCAAGACCTTATGTACAACTACACTAAAAAAACACTGTTTGAATAGTACTCATTGCTACATAGTTATAACTCTGAAAGACAATATTACCTTTTAACAGACATTCCACTCTTCACAAAGTAAACATACCATTCAGGCATTTTCTGAATTGCCTCTTGTCACTTCCCAAGTACCCCCTTCAAAGCTAAACACTGTGCCAGGTGCTCTGACACTCTTACAAAAAGAGAACATGGGTGGCAAATAAGCCAGATAGTGGCAGATACGACAACAAAAATGTCACTGGGGCCCCTGTTCCAGGAAAAGGCTTTTATTATTCAATTGGGTAAAGCAGGCAAGCCATGGAGCTTAGGCAGGCATTTCCTCCTTCCCTTCCATAATTATTCTTAACCCTATGCATCCCTACAAAGCAGGGGAAGATAGATACAATACAAACACAAAGTATGCAAGAGCCACACATCTACCACACCCCCAATTACATGGCCCACGAAGAATGAATATTCATAAAATGATTGGTTAAACAAAGTAGGGTTTTTTTTAACCACTACTTTTTCTTCATGTTGACTTTTGAGGACAATAGATGCAATAATTTAGAGACTGGATGAAAAGGTTAGTACAACATAAGCCAGGGCTGGACAAATCCCAGGAGCCAGCCAATGCTCCTCAAAAATTGCAGCTGGCACCTAACTCTTGAGCTATCCTCATATTATGTCCAACCCTAGTATAAGCCCTTATTCACACCCAAGTGTGAGTGGTTTCAGGCAATTTTAAAGCTTTTGTGCACATGTTTTCATGTGAATACGTTTTTAAGCTTCAAGCGTTTTTTGTTTTGGCCAATGGAAAGCAGTATCATCTCCGACATCATATGTCATCGTTGTCCTTTTACCTGCCTCTTGGGTTTCCTGTTTGGTATTGTGGTGTCTTGTTCTATCAGACACCCCCAATCCGAGAAAACTTCACATCCAATTTCTCCTCAAGCCCTCGCTGCTAGCCATGGTTCTTGTAACTGGGGTCATAGAGGTTCTTGTGGGCCCTCACCAACTGTATGAAGGTTTCCACATCCAACATGGACACTCCTGAATCCTCCGTTGTGTCCACAGACCTGAGGTTACTACCAGGAGAAGACCTGCTGTAAGGTCTCGTTCACACCTAGGCGTATTGCATATGCGCGTCTGTCGCACGTTTTTTTACCGCAATTCGCGGTAAAAAAGTCGTGCGACCGTCGCGCGTTTCCGAAGGCTACTTGGCTGTATCCCAATGGAAACGTGCAACAAAACGGCCCAAAGTAGTACCTGTACCTTTTCAGGCGTGGGCCGTTTTGTAGCGCGTTAGGGACGGGCGGAAATACGCCAAGGTGGGAACGAGACCATTGACTACAATGGGATTTATATTTTTGAGCGTTTTGTAGAGCGTTCGTCGAGCGTAGAACGCGCTACAAAACGCTCAGGTGTGAACGAGGGCTAAGATGCAAACAAAAGCACTAAAAAAAAAATGTACAAGTGGCAGGACAATGCTCAGGTGTGAATGGAAATCCTCATAATGAGCATTGTCGCACTTTGGGAAACGCTCAACAAATCGATCAGGAAGGAATGAGGGCTAATACATTTGATAATTAGTACCTTTTTTTATTAAAGATCTATACATCAACACAAAAAAAGAGCAACAACTAAAAGAGAAGAAAAGGGGCAGTTGGGAGAACTGAGAAAAGACAACTGAGAGGCGAGCTTCCAAATGATATAATTTGGGTGTCTGGAGTTAAACTTTTCTTCTGCACATCTAGCTACCTACAGTCTAATTTTTTTTTTTGACAGTTAAAAACATCAATGTAGAAATGCAACAGTTATCTCCACAGAAGAGGAAGGTCTGATCTGTAACAGCTGAAGTAAAAGGGTTAAAGTCAAGTTGGTTTTGCTTCCTCATTCTACCCTCCTCACAAGTACTTTATGCACATTCAAGAAAATCCCCAAAACTTCCTCAATCTTGTCCTCAGAAGGAAGGCGGCCTAATAAATATGTAAGTTCTTGGTTTCGCTCCAACCGCAAATTCATTGACACTACTGGTATGGTACAAGTCTGGCACACAGCATCTATAAAGCACCTCTCTGTAAAGATAATTTATTGACCCCTATTAGTAGATCTCTGGGGTGGGGGGCCTGCAATCTCAGCTGGCAAGTACATGTATAGATTACAGAAAGGGAGGCCTGGTTGACTGCGGACCTAAGACCTTGCTGTGAGGAAACCAAGCTAACCACTGTGCTGCCATTTGGATCACGTGTATAGACAAATGCGGTTCTTTGGGTATAATCGGAGATCCTATCAGTCCACACGGCTGGCAGACTCTCTAATACAAATGTCCTCATCTCACAAGTGCTGTTACGCAAAATATATACAAATAATAAGATGTGCTGACATTTCTATGCAAAGCGCAGTGACGACACACGCCGACTGTTTCTTGTGGCTCAAAATGAAACCAACCAAATTTCTGCTACAGCTTTTGTTGCTGCTGCACAGGCTCGGCGTACATTTTATTGGATTGAAAGCATCAGCATGTAGCCCCTGGCATGCCTCTAGACTATTATGTGTGTGAATGAAAAGGGAAAATGTGGTATTATACTTTATAAAAGCTCCAATATATTGCACTGTGCTGCGTATTACATTAAAAAAAAAGAAAAAAAAATAGCAAAAAAACTAATTACATAACACAAAGAATAACTGATTTGAGTTTTATTCTTTGGGTGTCTGGAGGACATAGTTGCTATGACCAACAACAAAAGCCACGTCCACTTATAAAGCACATATAAGCCAATTTGTCTCCATAAGTCTATTGGTTAGACTAATGGTTAACAACTAGGTAACCATAAGTCTATTGGATATCATCCAGTACCCCCATGAACCAATAGACACGTCCACTTATAAAGCCCACATAAGCCGATTTGTCTCCATAAAGTTCACTGGTTAGATTTATGGTTAGCAACTCCATGCACTTTACCTAGGCTTCACATTAAGTTCTTGAATACTTACTGGTCATGACTGATTGAAATAAAAGCTGTTTGTGCCCATAGCAAAACACTGATGAACAAGGGCTTTGTAACCAATGAAACATTAGGCTGGCGACTCATGCATGTTGGTTCTGGAGTTAAACTTTTCTTCTGCACATCTAGCTACCTACAGTCTAATTTTTTTTTTTGACAGTTAAAAACATCAATGTAGAAATGCAACTGTTATCTCCACAGAAGAGGAAGGTCTGATCTGTAACAGCTGAAGTAAAAGGGTTAAAGTCAAGTTGGTTTTGCTTCCTCATTCTACCCTCCTCACAAGTACTTTATGCACATTCAAGAAAATCCCCAAAACTTCCTCAATCTTGTCCTCAGAAGGAAGGCGGCCTAATAAATATGTAAGTTCTTGGTTTCGCTCCAACCGCAAATTCATTGACACTACTGGTATGGTACAAGTCTGGCACACAGCATCTATAAAGCACCTCTCTGTAAAGATAATTTATTGACCCCTATTAGTAGATCTCTGGGGTGGGGGGCCTGCAATCTCAGCTGGCAAGTACATGTATAGATTACAGAAAGGGAGGCCTGGTTGACTGCGGACCTAAGACCTTGCTGTGAGGAAACCAAGCTAACCACTGTGCTGCCATTTGGATCACGTGTATAGACAAATGCGGTTCTTTGGGTATAATCGGAGATCCTATCAGTCCACACTGCTGGCAGACTCTCTAATACAAATGTCCTCATCTCACAAGTGCTGTTACGCAAAATATATACAAATAATAAGATGTGCTGACATTTCTATGCAAAGCGCAGTGACGACACACGCCGACTGTTTCTTGTGGCTCAAAATGAAACCAACCAAATTTCTGCTACAGCTTTTGTTGCTGCTGCACAGGCTCGGCGTACATTTTATTGGATTGAAAGCATCAGCATGTAGCCCCTGGCATGCCTCTAGACTATTATGTGTGTGAATGAAAAGGGAAAATGTGGTATTATACTTTATAAAAGCTCCAATATATTGCACTGTGCTGCGTATTACATTTAAAAAAAAGAAAAAATAGCTAAAAAACTAATTACATAACACAAAGAATAACTGATTTGAGTTTTATTCTTTGGGTGTCTGGAGGACATAGTTGCTATGACCAACAACAAAAGCCACGTCCACTTATAAAGCACATATAAGCCAATTTGTCTCCATAAGTCTATTGGTTAGACTAATGGTTAACAACTAGGTAACCATAAGTCTATTGGATATCATCCAGTACCCCCATGAACCAATAGACACGTCCACTTATAAAGCCCACATAAGCCGATTTGTCTCCATAAAGTTCACTGGTTAGATTTATGGTTAGCAACTCCATGCACTTTACCTAGGCTTCACATTAAGTTCTTGAATACTTACTGGTCATGACTGATTGAAATAA